GAGAATGAAGTCTGCGGCTGATCGACTTGTTTGGGCCTTGGATGATGAGAAATGCGAAAGCAAGAGTGCGTGATGAGAGGGGAATGAAATAACTTCAGCCGTAGATTGAAACTGATCGTCCGCATGAAATGTCTTATGCAATGAGCGGGAAAATGAGGCTCCTCAAAGTAGTGCAATTATGTAGAGTGATGTTACGAAATACAATTAATAATCTATTGATGTCAATTCAATATTGAACAATAATTATTATTAATATATTTAAGCAGTTCAACATGCCACATATTAAAAAGTAGCACATTCTCCTAAAATAACTTGAACAATATATATATAATTAAATCAATAGTGAGCTCTAACAAAAATAAATAAAACTATTCAAACAACATGGATATAAAATCATTTATTCCTAATATGATATTGTGTATTTAGTCATTTTTATAATTTTTTAGAAATTGAATAAGTCTTTCGGACAAAGTTTTGTGTCTCGACTCGCGGAATCCGTATGTTGATTCACTTGTCACATAAGTGTATCTCTCTTCACTCGTCAGCTACTTAGCGGTCCAACCATCACGACTTGCAAGCTCTTGGAACAAGATGGACTTGTTTCTTGACATTTGTACATTACTCATTAGTCATTATGGTTAGCGTAGTAGACGCCTATAAGGTTATAGTGGGTTTGAGAAATTGGGCCTTTATTTTTGTATTTGTAACCAACTTAAGTATTAATTTTGGGCTTCAAAATTGTAATGGATTTTTACAATATATTAGAATTAAAAGTAATTGTTGAGTAGGGAGTCGGTACGGTATTATATCGGTATACCACGGTATTTGAAAACATTTACCGTTACCGTACCGAAATAGATCGGTACGGTATGATACCGTACCAAAAATGACGGTATACCAGTATTTCGGTATTTTCCGGTATTTTTCGGTATGGTAAGTGCGATATACCAATTTTTCGGTATTTTTGCCCACCCCTAGATAAGATAGATAAGCTGAAAAGAGAGGTTGTCAAACGGGCTTTTAAATTTGTATAAACACGCAAACACCACCCTCAAATTACGCCTACATAGTGTTTGTTCAAATGCCTCTTACAAATATTCATGGTTAATAGTTCTATTAGTTTTAAGTTCCCCGGCAAAAAACAAATAATAATGGTCAAAGATAACGTCACCGGATCTCCCAAATCTGGAATGCCAAATTTTGATCACGTACACTTACAAAGGTGTTTAAACACACCCATAAACAAAGGGATCCTATACACACGTATGGGCCAAAATAAATGGCATTCCTCTACTCTTTCAAGTGTTTATTGTTATTTAAGTTTTAGGGGAAAGAAATCACAATATCTTTACAAACTCACAAGAAAGCATTCAATAAAAAATTACAAATTTCCAAGCAAAACTTCTCAATCATTTTACTGTCATCAAAACTAACTTGAAATCTGCTCTACCATATTTAGTTAATAGATTTTTTTTAATTTACATTGTAATGAGACCCAATGTCCAACGGAATATACACTACATGCGAATAAAGCCCAATATATGCATATTTACTCGCCAAATTATAATGTGCTAATTTTCAAATGATATTTTTCAACTCGTCTAAATTTATTTATTTACATTGTAATGTGTCACAATGTTCTGCACAATAGGCACTACAAGCGAATGACGCCCAATATATACATATTTACTCGCCAAATAGTTGAGTGCAAATTTTCAAATCAAAATTTTTAACTCATCTAAATTTACATTGTATATAGGCTAGGTGTTTAGGTTAAATTAGATAAACATCATTTGGTCAACTCCAAAGTGTGTACGTTTATTGAACCCTATTACTAAGTTTATTATACTCCAACCTCACAAACTCAAAATGCACAACAAAGCAATTAAGCAAGTCTTAAATATAGTCAAAATTATGAAAGTCCAGGTTTTTGGAAAATAAAAATTGCAATTGGTAGGAGTAAAACATTGCAATTTGAGGAAGAAACTATGTTTTAAACCTACTAAGGATGTCTATATACCACAAATTCTCCCAAGCTAAGGCAATTCAGATATATGCTTTCCACTTAGTGCATCAAAAATTAAAAACATAGTAATTAGTTTCCACACAATTCTCAATCTTTTTGCTTGCCGTCTTTTTGCTAGGCATTCTTTTTGTTTATTGAAATGTGACATATCCAATAACCTTGTTTTATACTCCTACAGAATCAGATAGAAACAATTTTCCTAAGTTAAAAGATAGTGGTCCTTTGAAAACAAAAAAATGTATATCCATGAAAGAAGCATAGGAAATTTGGAGACATTGCCTAACTAACATTTTCCTTGTCATGACCAGAGCCTAGACTGCATTTCTTACATTCTTTTGTTATTTCATGGATCTTGTCAAATTAATTCATTCCTTACACAATTTATTTAACTATTATTTTTCCTTAATGTATGTAATTGGTTACGGTAAAATATGGTAAAATATGTTCTGTATTTCGTAGTTGCTGTTGTATTTAGAGAAAATCTTTTCTTGCAAGAGGCTGGTTTAACAATATGTATACTAACACTTTAAAACAATCTATTAAACTCATTTTCACAAAACAACTACCTGCATAAGTTACTGTCAATTTCATTCATTCATCGCCGTAATATATTACCTTGAATTCATTAAAACTATTCAATATTTTAATTAGAATTTTCAATATAACTGCAACACAAGTACGACTGTATTAGTTTCTGTAGTTTTGACAATCCAATATTGGTTCATACTCCAAAGAGAAAATTGTCCAACATAAGACTAAAACTCAACCTTTTTCTCAAAATAGGACCATATGCATGTTTTTCTCTAAATAGGACTAACCTTACCTTTTTTACCCCTAATTCTATTTAATTAATTAATTGATCTAAATAATTGTCCCCCCTAGTTTCCTTGCACAACCAAGGCAGTCCGTCGGTGGCGGGGCAGTCCGTGGTGGCGGCAGCACTTCGGCAGCGGCAACTCCGGCAATTAATTAACCCAATTAATTGCCCCCCCTAGTTCTCTTGCACAACTTAACCAAGGCAGTCCGTTGGTAGCGGGCAGTCCGGAGGTGGCGGCAGCGGAAGAGGCGGTTTCCGGCCGCGGCAGCGGTTTCCGGCGGCGCGCTGCCGCCGCCGGCCGGCGGCAGGTGGCGGCAGAATGTTGGCAAACCTCCAGAAAAAAATCTGGAATTTTTCCGGCGGCGGAGGCCGGCGGCAGTCCGGCAGTCCCTGGGCAGTAGTGGTAAAAGTTGTGGGGGGTATTTTGGTCCAATCACTAATAAAAAGTCCTATTTAAGGATGTTTAAACTAGGTACTCCTATTTTGAGTAAATCTCGCTACTCCAATCCGGACTGGAACACAAGCCTACTAATGCTCACATTTCAAAGCATTTAAGAATACAAGGAGGCTGTAATTATCTCTGATTTATTAATAAAAAACATTGATGTCATGTCACAGTTGCCTTCACAATTTTTTTGTTTACAGGTCATCGAAAGAGCACTCAAGGATACATGCTTTCCGTTATTTTTTCTGATCCTACAACCACTTTGAGTCCTAGGGCAAGATGAAAACTCATACTGAAGGAAGCCAATGAATGTGAGGATAACTTCAGTGAACAAGGAACATCTTCAGAAATTTCAATCCCAACTATCAAGAAAAAGGCGGAAAGGCAAAAATCTAACTTTAATTTGTATATTTCGATCAGAATAAAAGATTATAAATGCATGTCTATATAGGTTCTGTAGTATGATTATTACATTGTTTAAGTATGTTAAAATATTAGCAACTCTTAAATAAAGGCATGTTAGTCTATTAAACTTCAATATTTGTGATATTTGTACAATAATAAGTTATAATACTAAATATTGTTGTACCATTTAATGCGATAGAACATTAAACTCCCACCGCCTCTTAAACTTTGTCAAATTTTATTTTTTTAGCTTTCATCCTCTCACATAACTGTCTCATCGATCGGTATGAGGTGTCATCCTTTTTTTTCAATTTTTTATTTTTTATTATCCCCTAGAATTTCCCACTTTTCTTTTTAAGTAAATAATTTGAGTTTTTGTTAATTATCTCCAATCTACACAATCCTGAACCACGTCGTTTTTTTAACTTATCCATGTGCCGGTCTAACTAGCCCAGGTTTTAAGGACGGAAGAAGTATGATCAAAATTGCCTATGCAAATAGCATTTTGTAATTTAATAATTACAAGTTGTCTCTTTAATAATATGTTATTGTCCACCATCTTATTTATGTATAACCTACTCAACCGATTGTATGAATTAGAAAAGTATATACATCCAAGTTTGAAATATCCCTTAATCATACTTCACAACCCACTAAAATCTACTTCAAGAATAAAATTTATACACATAATCATATTGAAAAATATAAATCAAATATTGCATTCATGATATCACATTAATACTATCGTATATTGTATTGGGCACACATCGCACGAAGTGCTACGCCCTAGTAAATTAAAAAACATGTTGGATTTGGAAATTGAAAATAAAAACAAAAAATCCTTTTTGTGTCCAATGCCTTCTTTTATTGTTTTTATATCACAATTTAATATTAATAGTATAAAAGAACTATTTTGAAAATTTAATACTCCATCTGTTTCACTACTTTGTCAGTTTTCCTTTTTTCCCCAAAACTTTACCGATTCCCCTTTAAAACAATGAATTTGTGGTTTTGCTTATTTGGTCTCCTTTGCACAAATTTCAATAACACAATTTTAATTTTCTTATTTCACATTTAATATAAAATTGGTAAAGTCAACTAGCTGAAGACGATATAAATTTATGGTTCTTACTACAAATGTTAAACTATGAGTTGTAATTTAATTACGACGATTTCACCACTACTCTACTAATTAATCATATTTTTGTAAATCATATTTATTTTGATGGACGATTGTTTTGGGGGAAAAATCGAAAAAAAATTCAGTTAAATTGTTAATCACACGGCCCCACCTGAACCTGCCCGAGCGCTCCGCAATGAAGTCACTACGAAACCCCAAAATCACACCCATCCGACATAAGTTGACTGCTCTATCCGTCTCAGTCTGGAAACTAGAAAGGGGTGCTCTGAGGTAAAACACGATTCATCCATTTCCCGGCGAAATATAGTATCTGATCCGGCTGTTTTTATGTGTTTCGGATTGATCATCACGCTATTTCATCTTTCTGCATAGTTTCTAATTCTTTCCTGTTATTTTCATTCCCATCAAATATTTACTGGGCGAATCCGACCCATAAAATTTGCATCGTCAAAGCTTCATCCAATCGGTGGTATAGTTTTTTTTCCCTACGATTTACACGCACCTCTGTCTATCCTTGGTGGATTGGCATTTTTCTGCAATCCTAACCTGCTTCTTATGTGGGGAGACCAACCGCCGTCTTATTATTTGGGTCTTGTACAGAAATGAGCTTGAGAAAGGAAACGTCTGCTTGTGATTGCTGGGAAACTTATTGGATTTTCTGGTTTTGGGTAGTTCTAGACTTGCACTTGATTCTAGGTTATGGCTTGTATAATAGGTTAAAGATGCACTAGTTGGGAGTGGTGTTTGTTATGAATTACATTTAATAAATTTGTGTTTGCGCTTTTTGATGTGCTTTCACTTGTCTGACTTGATTATCCTATCTGTGAAGCTCTATAATTTTCCTACCTGCTATATGTTGGCCTAAATTCATGTCAATTGTCAACTTTGTAATACATTGTTTCTGGAACTCTATAGATCACAAACAACAACCAAAAATGGTGAAGGCAGTTGCAGTTCTTAATGGCATTGAGGGTGTCTCTGGCACCATTCAATTCACGCAAGATGACATCCATGGTTCATATTTTACTTCTTTATTTTTTTTAAATGTACAATCTAAATTTTCACTTGATGAAATCTGAATGGATATGCTTTGGAACTGTCTTAGGTCCAACTACAGTTAGTGGAAGTGTAACAGGCCTCAAGCCTGGTCTTCATGGCTTCCATATCCATGCCCTTGGTGACACAACAAATGGCTGCTTGTCAACTGGTAACTGTTTTAAGAGAAAGACTTCAGTGTCCATTTCTAAGTAATTGGTTTTTGGGAAAACTGTCAAGTAGATCCTTTTCGTACTTTATCAAACAATGACAATTAAGCCCTTTTACTCCAAAATCACCCAATCGCACCCTCAAAGTTGAAAAAAAATTGTCATTTAGGCAGTCATCCACAGCTTTTCTGGTAACCCGATGACATGGCTACCTATGTGTCCTTTTTAATTTTTTAAATCAAGTCTATCTCCTCTCTCTACCTTTTCCTCTAAGGCTACAACCACATCTTCTTCCTATTGGAAAGACTGGATTTTTTATTCATTCCTTGTCTGTTGAGGTCTTCCGACATCTAAAGGCTGTAAGCACAGTTGAAGCAGTGGTCAAACCCTATCCATTGCATATTAAGGCTACAAGAAGCAAGGTTTGTAGAAAAGGTTTGCTGGCGATGCTACGAAGAAGATCTCGACCAATTGAAGCTGCCTACCTAGAACAGAAAAAGGAAAGTAACAGATTGAATTGCTATGCCCTTTACTCTTCAGATCTTAAAATTCTGTAGAATGATGTTAGCAATGCCAGCTTTCGTATTTTTTGCAAAGAATTTGAACTCAGGAAACAATAATGAAGAAAGCGTGGAGAGGAGGACAACATACTACTCGCCCTAGTTTCATTTTTTCCCGGAGCTCCAACATCTATTGTGTAATGGAGTAATACGCACAACTCCTGTAAGGATCAACAACAACATCCAAGCTAACATGAATCGATACATGATAACGGAGCCAAAAGGAAGGCACAACTCCTGTAAGGATAGTTATACAAAATTTCGTATATGTAGGGAGTATCGTGATGTTATTAAATGGAGAAGGATAGTAGGTTTAAGAATAGTGTGGCGGCGTGGAACACAGGAGGAGATGCGTGTCAGAATAAGAAAAAGAGGAAGGGATGGACTTAATTAAAAAAATAGAAATAAAAAATTAAAAAGAATGCCACCTTCCTGGGTGTCCTCCTAATGAAAGACCTGGTTTTTGTTACAACTTCAAGGGTTTGATTAGGTGTTTTTGGAGTACTGGGACTTAATTAGCATTTTTGATAAAGTGTGAGGGTCTATTTGATAGGTTTCCCTTGTGTTTTTCATGTCTGGATTCATTACCTGTTTATTTTTGTGTTCGTTACTGAATCAATGAATTTATCTGTTTTGGGTTAACTAAGCTTCACTTGCATTTTCTTGTGTAATGCCTCAAATTGAATAAATATACAGGGCCACACTTTAATCCTTGTGGGAAGGATCATGGAGCTCCTGAAGATGAAATCCGTCATGCCGGTGATCTTGGAAACATCACAGCTGGAAATGATGGTAAATTTATTTATTTAATCTAATGAATTTGTATGTCATTTGGCATGCGACACAACAATTTCTCTTAAATCCTCTACTTGATTTCTCTTTAGTTCTTCATAGATCTTTTGATGTAGCAGGCCTCACCCCCTATATACTCCAAACTAGGTTAGATCTGTCTTCTGAGCTATTGACCTCTTCAGCGTTAATTTTTGTGCACACTATGGCTATATCAGGGAAAGTCCCGCATCCATTTAAATATATTTCCATACATCTCAAAAGAATGTTGGTGAAGATGCCTGTTTAAAACTCAAACAACATAGTTTATGTTAACTCGTAAGCACTTAAGCCCAATCGTCTAAGATCTTGTCCTAGGCAGAGACTAAATAAACGAGAGGAAGTTACTTCATGAAACTTTTGGATCTATGTTAATGAAAAGAAGAGATTTAGGTACCAATATTTCTTAAGTTGCATGTAATCAGGTATTAGACCTACACATGATTAACTCTTCCAGAATTACTTTATGAAATAGAACTGAAGGCTCCTATATAGCTATAACAAGAGACCAAATGCTGAAGTAAAAAGTAGCTGGACAATGCCAAAATAAGACCTCTAGGGGGTATTTGCTATTTTGCTGGACAGCCTTAGGCCTTCTGCACAAGTGGCAGGCACTTGTCTTCCTGCATGTGTGCTGCTTCCGTTGACTGCCTCAGTTGCCCCCCTAGGTGTTTGCACCATCATTGCTAAGTGTGGCTTGTAACTGCGTCCTTAACAGTATAAAATTGTTAACAAAGCATAATTATTTGGTTCAGTGCCTTGAAGTATATCTGTATTTGAAGTTTTCTACTCTCCATTCCGATATTTAAATACTTTTTTGTCTCAATAAAGACTAATTTTTCATCAACAAAAGCGAATTTCATGTAGTTCAACAAAAAAGTTACAAACAAATGACATATGATAATTTTAGTTAAACAAACAAAAGATTTTAAGAAATTGCCTAACTATGAGTAAAAGACTCACTATTTTTTTTGTTTGGGAATATAATGGAATAAAGTAAAATGGCTCTGCACTTCTTTGTTCTGAAGTAGCAGTCAGTCCTTGCAATTTTCAACGTGATTTTCGTCATGGCCCATGGGTCATCCGAAATGGTCTCTTAATGCGTACATCTGACCCCCTTTACCCCCCACTATGCCTTTGCGGCACTGGGGTAATGTAGTTGTTTGTTGTTGTTGCCTAAATATGAGTAAAGTCATTATGGAATTCCAAAATAGGAGTACTATGTTTTTATTCTTAAATAGGAGTAATTACTGTCATGCATGGAAAATATTGCTACTTATGGCAGTATACCGCCATATAGGGCAATAAGTTTTCTGGATTGGCAGTAATGTATTCCTCTTTAGGAAAAACACAATACTCCTATTTTGGAGTTTTACATTGTTTCTACTTCTATTTCGAGAATTATACCAAATATTTTAAAGTGAAAGTATGGTATATGATAGTTGTACCCTACAAATATTTGAAAGTTGTTTGATGGTCAAACATAGATTTTTTTCATAGAGTAAAGGGTCAGTTTGGTCCTCGAAGTTGCATAAAAGGGGTCAAATAAGTCCGTATATAGAAGATTTTGTCCGTATGTGCCATTTGAGGCGGTTCTCGGTGGAATTTTTTGATAAATTTTTTTGAGCATCTTATTCATTAAGTGTAGTTTACTCATACCAAATCTCAGCTAAACATTCAATCGGGAAGGCATTCAAATGAATTTTTTATGATAACTGCGTCTTTAACTGCACAGTTATCTTCAAGAATTCATTTGCATGTCTTCACGATTGAATTTTTATCTGAACCTTGGTATGAGTGAACTAGACTTACTGAATAAGATGCTCAAAAAATTTCATCAAAAAATTCCACCGGGAACCGCCCAAATGACGACAGACGGATAAAACCTTCTATATAAGGACTTTTTTGACCCCTTTTATGCAACTTCAGGGACCAAATTGACCCTTTACTCATTTTTTTTGGGATGGAGGATTGGAAGTAGTTCTTTTATGGTTGTTTCTGATACATATATTAAATGTTTCAGGTGTTGCTCCCATTAACATCATTGACAGTCAGGTGAATCACCATCTTTAGCTTGGGTTAAATTGGGTGCAAAATTAAACACGAGTTGGCTTTATTATTAATTGTTAGCCAATCTCTTAAATATTTTATAACTATTACTTATAACTGTTGCAGATTCCTCTTATCGGAACTAATTCTATCCTTGGAAGAGCCGTAGTTGTTCATGGTGATCTTGATGATCTTGGGAAAGGTGGTTATCCCCAACACTTGCATGCCATGTTATGCTTTGTTATTTTACATAATGTAATTTATGAATTCACTTCTGAAATGAAATTTACAATCAGATTCTCCAATAAAAACCTACACGGTTGGTCTTGCCTAGGGGTGTTAACGAGCCGAGCCGAGCCCGAACACCCAAAGCTCGAATTCGGCTCGTTAAGGAATTAGGGGTGTTCGAGCTCGAAGCTCGGCGAGCTTCACAAATGAGGCTCGTGTTCGGCTCGAAAGATGTTCGATGTTCGAACCGAGTGCTCGATAAGCTCGATAAATATGCCTGGATTTAAAATTTTAGGCGATGCTCGTTAATAGGCTCGTGCTCGAATGATTCAACAAGTATTCGGTTCGTTAATAATCATATTTAAATTCATAAATTGATACTAATTATATTTAAATTTTGAAATATATATAAATTATATTTAAAATTTTAGGATGTTCGATAGGCTCGAGTTCGAACCGAGCCGAATACTACTATGTTCGAGCTCGGCTCGATTAACTTTTCGAACTTAAAACTCAGCTCGGGTTCGAGTTCGAAAGCTCGTTAAGCTCGGCTCGTTAGGTTCGAAACCGATCTCGAATAGTTCGATAAAAGCTCGGTTCGTTAACAGCCCTAGTCTTGCCATTCCAGAGTTGTAAATCATTCGTTTCTTGATTGGGGGAAAAAGGATTTGCACTGAACTTTAGGCCTCTAGGTTTGAGAGGACTCTATTGAATAATGGACAAAACAATCCACACATTAAATATGTGTTGCAAATTAAATATAGGATATATCTCCAAATATCATCAAATTCACAAATCTATCCCATACTTTCACTTTTATTAAAAAAGACTTAAACTTCAACTTTTCTCACAATTACACTTTCAATGGATGATTAAGTAAAAATTAAGAAAGTGATATTCATATTTCATATTTTTCACTTGTTTCTAGTTTCAAATTTACAAATTTGTATTGCTTGTATGTAATTGGTATTGATAAAAATGTGTAATTTTGAAAAAACAAAAAAGAAAAACATAAGTTGAAAAAGATGACGTTTGAGTCTTTTTTTGATAAAAGTGAAAGATTAGGATAGATTTGTGAATTTGATGATAGCTTGGGATAAAATAAGCTAATAATCCTTAAATATATTTCTTCTTTAAACTGAACTTGCTGCTGCTGCTGACTGTTTCCATTTTTGTTTTGTTAATGCGAAGTTTCATTATGTTTTTTTCCACATAAATGGAGAGTCATATGTTAATATTCTTTTTTGCACCTTTGCTACTTTAGGTGGTCATGAACTCAGCAAAACAACTGGAAATGCTGGAGCAAGGGTTGCTTGCGGTATGCATTTCTAAACTTTATACTGTAACAATATTTTTCGATTTCTCAAACTTCATTTATTGCACACAAAGATATTCTAAGAAACTAAATGAAATTATTTGCAGACACCAATCTGTGTCATTTGCTGGTCTTGCTTTCCTGTGCAACATAACTCTGAACTGAACATCATTGTCATCTTTGTGCAGGTATCATTGGCCTGCAAGCTTAATGAGTGCATCTGGGAAATGTTATGACAATAAAAAATGTTGTGACTTACTTTCAACAACACTTGTCTTTGAGATTGATTCCTTTTCTTGATCCACTCTCTTAAGGGCGGTGGCATGAACTTAAACTCTGTAGTTGTACTGAAGCTTTTGATCGGATTTTTTTGTTTGTTTGTTAATCGACACTTGATAATAAGTGGAATTGCTCAGACATAACTCCAAAGTGTCCTTTTTTGAGTCATCATGAAAAGCCAACTACGATTTCTAGAATTGGCGAATGAGTTTGATGAACGTTTTGGATGTTTATTCTGGTGGTAAAACTGTCGGGTGATATAGTTGTTGGTTGACTACTTGACTATGTTTGGGTGAGGGGTTATTGTTTTAATTTGAGACTATTGTCTGGAAACTAAAATATGAAGTGGTGAATCTGAAGTACCAGTTGATTGAGGTAGACATGTTGGAAAAAATAGTTGAAATTATGACTAGAAAATATAAAATTACCTTAAAGGATATAATAATATAATATAGAAACAATGACACCAATATAACTTCTCAGCTTCTGTTGGATAAAAATATGACTAGTTTTAAAAAGTACCGAAAAGTGACCTGGCTTTTAACGTACCCCACCTTCCGCTTTCAACTTACGCTTTCACCTTCCTCTTCCGTCCAAACTTCTGCACAGAGCTCCAGGGCTGAATACTTCCGTCGTCATTGCAGAAACAATCACCGACACCAACCTCTTCTTCTTCGCAGAAGTCGGTTGCTCCATCATCGAAAAACAATCCAGATTTGACTCCCTGTGCTTCAATCGATTGCTCCTCTTTCGTGGCGGCTAGGTTACAGACTCGCGGTGGCTACGATTTGGGGTAGATGGGTGGTGAGGTCGCAATCGCTACAGTAGGGACGAAGCTTTTGCCTCTTTCGCCGCTTTCGCCATTCTTCGTCGCCATAGCCAAATCGATTTGGATCTGATTCTTCTTCATGTTCTTATCTTCCCTTTCTTTTCGTTTTTGTGCAGAGATTTGGCTTGGGGTTAGGTCGGGTGGCTGGAAGGTCGGGGAGGGGCTGGTGCAACAGCGGTGGGGAACTGACGGTGGTGTTGGGTTGTGACAGTGTTGCGGGGGCTTGGGAGTTGTGGTGCAGGGGCTTGTGAGCGGTGGTGCAGGGGCTGAGGGACCTGTGAGCAGTGGTGTAGGGGCTGGGGGGCCTGTGAGCATTGGTGCAGGGAGGAAATGGTGTGGCCGAAAGGGCTGATGTGGTAAATGTTGGCGGCAGAGGTCAACAACGGTAGTAGCCAAGTGTGAGGTGGCTGAGTACGGGTGTGGGGGGTTGGGGAGGCGGCAGTTGCGGTGGCATCATGGTGGCAACCGATTTTGATTAAAATTTACACTTCCGGCGGGTAATATTGACATCGACGGCAGTGTAGGCGTCATTGTGACGACGTCACTGCGGCTGTGTCACTAAGGCGGCGTCACTGTTGTGGTGTCACTATGGCGGTGTCACTGTGGTTGGCTGCGGTGACCGGTGGTGGCCGAGACAGCCGCAGTGACACGAGCGGTGGCCACAGTGACACGGGTGGATGTCACTGTAGCGTGTCACTATAGCAGTGTGTATATAAGCAAGCTTGTCACTTATTAGTCACATTTCAGGAATTTTAGAAAAGGTCACTTTTTTGCCTATTGCCCTTTTATTAATGACATGGTTTATAATAATTGATGACTATGTGTTTTAAAATGTAACATTGTGACATTCTTCGGTGACATGACCACTATATTAATCTTGTGGTAATTTTTATAAAAATTGACATTCTTTTTTATATCGTAAAACAGACGGTCTTATATTAAAATCAAGAATGCATATAAGACAATATTCAGACAGATTTTACAGATCCAATCGTGAATCTTAGGAGTAGACATAGAATCAGTCATCTCATACAAATCAACCTGACTTGCTAAACCTGAAACGGACAAATTTAAACCTAAAATGAACAGATCTGAAACCCTGCCTATCAAAATAACTCGGAAAATCCAAACATTCAATCCAAATTCACTCTGATTAAAACTAAAACTAGTACTACTAAAGAGAAAATAATATTGCAATAAAATCTTTCCACAAAACTTTTCCTAGTATGGAGGTGGTTCTGAAGGAGGACGAGCTCTTGCAATATGTATAATACAAACCCAGCACCATCGGAGCGGCCGACCAAGGCTTCATGATCCAGCACCGATACAAAATCGCATCCGCAATCCATTCATCCACCAACGTTATCTCCTCTGACATAGGTGCAATCTCAAGCGTCAGAACACTTAAAATCAGAATAATCTGCCGCTCCAACCCCATGTTGATGGGGCGGTGGAAAATCTCAACCCCTACAAAGAGGGGAGACAACGGCTAGGTTTTTAGAGAGAAGCCAGAGCTCTCCTCTCTCTAGGTTTTATAAAAATTGCCATTGTTTATCCATGTTCATAATTATTTATTTTCATGAGCCATTATACACAAGTAATTATGTAAACACATAAAGGTAAATACTAAAAATTATCACACATTGTAATAGTTTCTTGCAATATTGTGATATTTTTTGTCAATTGTCACATTTGATACTGATTGTCAATCTCGTCATTATGTTTAACATTGTGACACCTTTGTCAATATTCATATATTTAAACACTAACTTATTTTAACATTGTAATTTTTTGGGAAAAATACGGAAAACGTACTTGTACTTGGGTCTGTTTTCAGATAGGATCATGTGTTTCATTCTTGATCAAAGTTGTTCATGTGTTTGAATTCCGTTATCACAAGAGGGTCACGCCGTTAAAAACGTTCGAAAAAAACCGTTAAAAGTAACCCCAATTTTCAAAAGTGTCCGGAAGATTGAAAGAAAAATACCGAAAGGTGCGCCTCGTCAAGATGACCTCCAAACCACCTTCGCCTTTGGATTTTTCAGATTTGTTTGAATTATTTTTTAAAAATGATTTCGCTAATATCACTTTTCTAGTGGACTTTCCGGTGACAAGGGTGGCAGAAAAAAAAAGATGGCCTAACGGTCGTCTTATTAAGGCGCACCTTACGGTATTTTTCTTTTAATTTTTCGGTCACTTTTGAAAATTGGAGTTACTTTTAACGGTCTTTTTGAGACGTTTTTAACGGTATGACCCTCTTGTGATAACGGAATTCAAACACATGAACAACTTTGATAAAGAATGAAACACATGACCAGGGGCGGAGCCAGGACACTGGGTCAGGCTGGGCCGGTACAAAGATTATTTTTGAAAAAAAAATTAAAGAAATTTTTTACACTAAAAATTAGACATTTTTAAAATTTGGGCTGGGCGGGGGTCAAGGTTGGCCCTCTCATAGCTACGCCCATGCGTGTTCCATTGCATAAAATGATCTTTCTGTTGTTGCACTCAATGTTTGAAATTGCGCACGTACTGCGGAGTTGAGGTTTTCTTTTCCAATATGTATTGCGTAAACCTCAAAGTGCATTGAGGCGTAAGGCTTGGGCGTAAATCTTAATGCATGAATTTTTTTTATATAAAAATCTATAATCAATAAGAAATAAAAATTCCTTCAAAGTAACATACTTAATTACCAAACTAACAATAATGTCATAAAATTATGGAAATCTTAGTTGAAAATGTCATCATAGAAATTCTTTAATCTAAAATTCTAAGTTTTTTTATTTATGAATGCAAAAGAGAATTGCTAATGGTAATATGAGTACATAATTTGATATATTAATCTCGAGGCCTGATCCTGTCCAGCCGGAGGGACAGGACCCGCGGTCCGGCCGTCGCCATTTGGGGCCCTTCCCGGTGGAATTTTTCGATGAATTTTTTTTAGCATGTTCTTCATGAAGTCTAGTTTATTCATACCAAATTTCAGCTAAAAATTCAATTGGGAAGACAATCAAATGATTTTTGGAAGTTAACTGCGCAGTTTACATACATATAAAACACAGTTATCTTCCAAAAATCATTTGAGTGTCTTCCCGGTTGAATTTGTCACGCCCCGGACCGCATCCGAGCGCGTGCACAACCGCCGTATGACTAAATGACGTCACTCGCAAGTCAACGTAACTTAATCATACAAGGCGTCCATGAACATTGTTCATACCATACTCAGTAAGTAAACATACATAACAACATCACATATTTGGATTGAACGAATCGCGGAAATATTCAATATTCAATCATGGGCCACATATGGCCAAAACGTGGACTCGCAGGCCCAAAACAAATGTACTTATTACAAAATATCCATGAGCATAGTTTATAGTTTAAAATAGTAAAGGAAGCACGAACCACGTCTCCCTTCAGATTACTTCACCGAGCAAGGTGAGAATGCAAGCTTGAGCTTCAACCTGAAATGGTGGGGCCCCCCGAAGGGGTCAGTACAAGTACCGAGCGAGTAGCAGGCTAAATGTAGAATAACTAACGTTTCAAGTATAAGACCCAAACATAGGGTGATACATATACATATAGTTCTCCCCCCAAGTTATGAAATATATATCATTATATATACACTTGGAAATACCCGACCCTTAGGTCATTGTTTATTTGGGAAATAATATAGCCGTTAACCTTGGCTTAAACCCCAACCCACCCATATACCTATGAGTGTATAGAACTCCTCCTGGTTCAAATTATCTTAACATGAGGACACCGCCCGGTCCCAAATCATAAAATAATAATCTATGAGTTTTGAGGATACACGCCCGATCCTTGGGTACTCCACCCTATAACCGAGTTTTGAGGATAACCGCCCGATCCTTGGGTACTCCACCCTATAACCGAGTTTTGAGGATACCGCCCGATCCTTGGGTACTCCACCCTATAACCGAGTTTTGAGGATACACGCCCGATCCTTGGGTACTCCACCCTATAACCGAGTTTTGAGGATACCGCCCGATCCTTGGGTACTCCACCCGACTTATGATCTACCGCATATCATCCTAGATAAGGTCTATATCATAATCATTAATCAAGACTAAACCAAGTCTTAAGGCCTAAGCATAATCATCCATGCAATTCATGCATTAAACATCAACATATAGGCAAAACAGTGCCAAACCGGCGCCGGTTTTGACATAACCGGCGCCGGTTATTAATTAATTTAATAAAACCGGCCATGCCGATCCATAACCGGCGCCGGTTTTGCCTATAACCGGCGCCGGTTACCCCCTGGGCAACCAAGTCAACATTTTCATTGACTCGCCATTTCAAACCCGATTTGCATCAAACTTAATCCCAACATGTATTAAGTCATAACCAAACATTTTATGCCCCTTTCATCCCTTAAAACATCATATATGTTTTTATAAACATTTTCATATCATACTTCATTTATGATATTAATGGGTCATACATATAAGTCTAATCACTTTGGATAATCACATGTTTAAGCATCTTTTAAACATCATTATGAACACATGTAACATTTACTTAGGTAATCTCATAATTAACCCAAGAGTTATAAGACATTAAGCCGTCCACTCACCTCGAATGAGCGTGATGAAGTTCTACCCTTCTCGGTTGAACTCCGGCCAAACTCCGGTGAACTTTGACGAACTCCGGCGATAACTCCGGCGACCCTTTAAACTTCGTGAAAGCTTATAAATCACCTTTGACAAGTTCATAACAAGGTTTTATCATCACAAAACCCATATTAATACAAATAACCTCTAAAAGGTCATTTTCCGGCTAACCGGTCGTTTTGGCTCCTAAGTCCGTTCTTGGACATAGGACCGCCTTTCAACCCTCCTTTTCTACATTATAACATGTAGAACAATACTAGGGGTACTTCATATGCTATGTAAGTCATATGAAGTTCAAAGAGAGGAGAAAAAGTTATCATGGAGTCATTACCTTAATTATCCAAGTTTTTCCTCACTTTTTCCCTCCTTAAACTTCCTTTGTGGACTTCTCCTTGTTTGAGCTCAAGGTGTAGCTATGGAAGATGGTGTGAAAGGTTCCTCCCTCCTTCCTTGAGGGGTGCTGGTCGAGAATGATGGGTGAGAGAGAGTGGAGAGGTTGTTTTGTCTCACTTAACCAATGAGTGAATGGGAAGGGCCCTTTGGCTTTTCAACCATGTTCCTCACATCTATTCATGCTCCATCATGTGTCCTTCCAGCTCTCAATAGTCCTCTCTTGCACACAAAAACGTGGGATGGCCCCCACTCATGTGGGAGGTCATCCAAACTTGTCCCGAAATGTACAATCGGTCCCAAAAGTTGTATTTCTCGGACTGTTTTAAATTATATTTTATTTTATTGGGTCAAATAAAATATAACACTTACTTCCCATCATAATGGGCCTTTAGGATGATTATACATACTCTAACTTTAATTTGGAAGTCCCCGAAATTCATTTCAGACTGTTATCCGATAAATTACCCAAAACCGGTAATTAGGTCTTGTTTGACCAACCGGTCAACCCAATGCCTTCCTTATGGCCCAAGGTGAATGTCCACCACCATATAACTATTATCTATACCAAGATGAATAAAATATGCGGTCTCGGGAATATCGGGTGGTCCCCGCTCCCGGTGTGGGCCTCACGTGCAATTTACTATTCGCGCAAAAGAATTGACAAAAATTTACAACCTCGTAAATTCATTAACCATTTCATAAGGTTCAATACATAATTTACACAAAAGTAAATATACTTGGGGACGGTGTTACAGAATTTTTAGCTGAAATTTGGTATGGATAAACTAGACTTGATGAGGAACATGCTCAAAAAATTTCATCAAAAAATTCCACCGGGAAGGGCCTCTAATGGCCTTGGCCGGATGGTCCCTCCCGTCCCTCCGGAGGGACCTGATCTTTTCTATATTAATCTAATCCAAATTAAACAATATATACGACTATACTTGACACAAAAATTCAAATATTATGAAAAAGTAAAACTTCACTAATAATAAAGAAAAAAAGTTGAATATAAATAATTAAAAACATTGCAAGAAACATAAATAAAAACATAGTAAAATTCGTGGCAACCACTAATTTATTTCAAGCCTAAACAAACATTAAACCAAAATGGAATCCAGCTGTAATCCACTCAAAAGTCAAGGATTATCCATATCTGTCTTGCTGCTATGCTTCTTTGGTTAAGATTAGCATTGGACCGTTTTTTGCACTGGGCCAGAATGGATCTACACTGGGCCAGTATTTTTCTTGCTTGGACCAATTCTAAAAAAAGTTAAAAACTAAATATATAATACAAAAATATTAAAAATTACCCTGGGCCATGGCCCAGCCAGGCCACCCCCTCCCTCCGCCCCTGCACATGACCCTATCTAGAAACAGGCCCAACCAATAGGGATGCACCAGTCCTGGGTCGGGAGCGGGTCCGGGTCGGGTTAAGGGCAGGACCGGGTTGGGGAAATGGAGGCCCGGTACCGGCCCGGCTATATTCCGGGATCGGATGGGGTATACAGAGGACTTTTCATGTCCAGCCGGCCTGATGGGAACCGCCGTCCGGCCGAGGGAATTTGGGGCACGTTCCGGTGGAATTTTTTGATGAACTTTTTTGAGCGTGTTCTTCATGAAGTCTAGTTTATCCATACCAAATTTGAGCTAAAAATTCAATCGGGAAGACACTCAAATAATTTCTTGAAGTTAACTGGGCAGTTTATATGTATGACTGTATGAGCCATCACCATTTTGAGCGGAAAATTGAGGAAAATTAATGTTGTGCTGCCAATCTGAAACGTAATGACTAAAAACAGAATGACAAAAGGTTTGAAGTAACATAAGGTGAGTTACTTCAAACAAGAATGATCTTCATATTCATCAAACGGCCTAAAAGGTTGACCTTTCAATTTGTAGTTTGGTACTGCTATCATTCCCCATAAAAAAACAACAAAACATCCAATTAGGTAAAAGAAACGCCCTCCTTAAAAAGTAAAAACAACACCCCAATCAGCTTAGATGTGGATTCCTATATATATGCACATTGTTTAAGGGAAGCAAAATGGATTCCGATAAAATGATAAGTTTTCACCATCTAAATACGGGGGATCATTCTATAATGTGCCCAAATTATTCAATCTTTTAGTTTCTACAACTACCAACCGCTAAATCATCTCCCATAATATAAAAACACCATCTTAAAGAATGAAATAACTGCACTTTGATCAGTAAAATACACGGCCATGTTCTTCATTATCGGGATACATATATCATGCCAAATGGAGTGTTTCTAAAACCTCAACAGACTTGGCCCTCCTAAACCCTATTTCCAAAGTGATATTAATTAGGCTCTGCATTGATGTGGCCATGCGGTTTCAAGAGTCAGTAGTAAGAGTTAATGGCTTCTTCACCATTGCAAATTTCATGTATCTGAGATATTACCAGACGCCAAAACTCCACTCATCAGCTGCATCTATGTTAAATATACCCGTGATGGTGGCTGCATAGCATTTGGGTTCATACTACAGCAGCTACAACTCTTCTCACTTGTTTGTTAGTTTTATTACTCCATATTTATTAATTAACGTCAAGTCGTCAACTAATAATGTTGAACTTCTGAAAGTTTAAACATGATAAACACATGAAATGTGCAGCTCGTTACCTTCAACTAGCAACATAATAAAAATATATAGCTGAGATAAAGTAATAAAAACTTTGGAATATTTATGCTTGATTGATATGCAGCATATGAAATGCAAAACACGCTGAACGCAGCAAGTTGGAACATTGGATGTTTGTAAAGTTGATGGGTTTATTTGGGTGTTTGTTTAGTTCAAGGTCTTGATTGACTTTTTAATATATTATGAATTTACAAGGGCCTATTTGCTAGTTTTCCCTATATATATATATATATATATATAAACAAGAATGATCAGGTCCAAACGTTCGGACAGGACCCTCCGTCCGAACATCCTCGTTTGGGGTCTTTCCCGGTGGAATTTTTTGATGAATTTTTTTGAGCATGTTCCTCATCAAGTCTAGTTTGTCCATACCAAATTTCAGCTCAAAATTCGATCGGGAAGGCATTCAAATAATTTTGTGAAGTTGACTGCGTTTTTATATGTATATTTTGACGCAGTCAACTTCAAAAAATGATTTGAATGCCTTCCTGATCTAATTTTGAGCTGAAATTTGGTATGGACAAACTAGACTTGATGAGAAACATGCTCAAAAGCTTTCATCAAAAAATTCCACCGGGGAGTGGCCCAAACGTCCATGTTCGGACGGTGCTCGGACGAGGAATGTTCGGAATTGAACATTCCTCTCTCTCTCTCTCTATATATATATATATATATATATATATACTAAGTATATATATATGGATGAGTTCAAATGAGAAGACATCTTAACGTGTAAAATGACAATTGATCTCAGCCGTCCAAAGTGCAGATCTGATGCACAATGACCTCCATTTGATGCACTTTCGAATAGACCTTATTTGATGCACTTTTCGAAAAAGGGCATCAAATAAGGTCTATTTGAAAGTGCATCAGATAGGGGTTATTGTGCATCAGATCGACACTTTGGACGGCTGAGATTAATTCTCATTTTACACGTTAAGACTTATTTTTATTTTATCCAAATTCTATGTGTATATATATATGTATATATATATATATATATATATATATATCCAAACTAAAGAAAACCAGGGATAAAATAAGACAGGTTCACTCAGAAAGAAACTGTGTTTCTATATTCTTAGAGCACGCTTGACAAAGGTGGAATAAAAAGATTTTAATCAAAATGGGCTAGACAATAATTAAAGAGACAAAAGTTCCCCTTACTCATATCATTTTCATTTACCCCCGTGCCGCAAAGGCTCCCACCTACGGTGGGGTAAGGGGGGTAAAAGTTCCCCTTACTCCAAAAAAAATTAAACAGACAACAAATCAAACCATCAAACCAGTATTAAAGAAAAAAATTGAAAGAAAAATGTACGTAGGATAAAGGTAATTAGGCTGACATGTTAACCCCCAAGTATTCTCACAAACTTTGCCTTATGGATTGCAGCCACAACATATGCCCAATTTGCAGCATCCTGAAGGACTTTGAAATATGCAAACCTACAGGACCTGTTGAATAGCATTGTCCCAAAAACTCCCAAAAATCCAACCGTATATCCGACCCCCATGCTTGCATAAAACTCATCACTGCCAATAACCTTATCTGTGTCTTCTATATTATAAGCCCTTTCTACTTCTTCTTCTTTTTCTTCTTCTTCTTTTTCTACTTCTTCTAGTTCTTCCGCTTCTTGTTCTTCTTCTTGTTCTTCTTCTTCTTCATGGAATGCAGGTGGAGAAGGATGAGTTGGTTTCTCTCCTGGACAGCTGTTAGGAAGCGAATCTCCACATAGCCCAGGATTCCCCATGTATGTGAGGGCAGATATGCCGTTTCCAAAATTTTCAGGAATGGAACCTTCTAACTTATTATAACTGAGATCAAGGTATGTGAGGGTAGGCATGTTGTTTCCAAAATTTTCAGGAATGGAACCTTCTAACTTATTATAACTGAGATCAAGGTATGTGAGGGTAGGCATGTCGTTTCCAAACTTTTTAGGAATGGAACCTATTAACTTATTATGACTGAGATCAAGGTATGTGAGGGTTGGCAGGTTGTTTCCAAAATTTTGAGGAATGGAGCCTTCTATGTTATTATATCTGATACCAAGGTGCACGAGGGCAGGCATGCTGTTTCCAAAATTTTCCGAAATGGATCGTTCTAAATTATTATAACTGAGATCAAGGTGCATGAGGGCAGGCATGTTGTTCCCAAATTTTTTAGGAATGGAGCCTTCTAAACTATTATGACTAAGATTCAGGTGCGTGAGGGAAGGCATGTTGTTTCCAAAATCATCAGGAATGGAACCATTTAGAGTATTATAACTGAGATCAAGGTGTGTGAGGGCATGCATGCTCTTTCCAAAATTTTTAGGAATGGAACCTTCTAAACTATTGTAGTTGAGATCAAGGTGCGTAAGGGAAGGCATGTTGTTCCCAAAATTTTCATGAATGTAACCTTCCAAACTATCATGAGCGAGATTAAGGTACGCGAGTGAAGGCATGCTGTTTTCAAAAGTATCAGGAATGGAACCCTTTAATCCATTATAACTGAGATCAAGGTGGGTTAGGGCAGACATACTCTTTCCAAAATTATCAGGAATGGAACCTTTTAAATTATTATAACTGAGATCAAGGTGTGTGAGGGAAGGCATGTTGTTTCCAAAATTTTGAGGAATGGAGCATTCCAAGTTATTATGACTGAGATCAAGGTGCATGAGAGCAGGCATGGTCTTTCCAAAATCTTCAGGAATGGTGCCATGAATTCTGCTGAATTTCAGACTAAGCTGTTGAAGGGAAACTATAGTACTAGCGTTATTACTCATGTGGTTCCCAATCAAAGATGAGATATTCTGGCCTCGGAGCAACTCGGGGTTATCATTAAGATTCAAATACGTCAAATAGTGCAGCTCATCAATGAATGGAATGCTGTTATGTCTAACATTTGAGGACAGAGACATACCATGAAGATCAATCTTAATGACATGACCAGTAAGGTTATCACACCCAACTCCCTCCCACCCGGAGCAACAATCTTCAGTGTGGTTGCCCCAAGAGCTTAGCCGGCGGAACTCGTCGATAACGTTTTTCTTAAAGGTGAGGAGCACTTCTCTCTCCCCATCACTGCATTTACTAGCACTGGAACTGGATATTGATAATGCAGCAGCCACACTCATCACCACCAACCAACTCGCAGACGATAAAATCGATCCGCCCATGTTCTGATTTTCTGTGGTCAGTGAGCTAAAGCTTCTCTATCTTTTTGTACGCGTCTCATGCATTTCAACTTCCACCCCGCGCGCTACAAAGTCAAGTCAAGCTATTGTAGAAACCTCATACACGCTTTAGCCCGTTCTTCCACCGTCCATTACGTACCTTGCGTCTCATCGCCCGTTTTGTTTCTTTCCCAAATCCCTAGTCCGACCGAGCATGAGCAACGCTCTTGGGCTCGAATTGTGGCAGACGGCAGGGATAAAGATTAAAGATGGTCGAATTTGAATATACGAGCAGCCACTTTTTTCAATGTAAATTTCAACCTACTATTTTCTCTGCATGGTTCATTTGTAAATTTACAATAAAACCCGTTTGGTAACATGAAAATCGGTTCATTCGATTGGTTTAAGAAAATATTATTTTTCAAATATATTTTATTAATAAAATAAAGAAAAAATATGTATAAAAATAGCTAAAATGGTAATACAGTGCGCCAAAACAAAAGTTACGTGTTTGGTGAAAAAGTCAACTGATAAGTCTGATAAACCGAAAAACAGTATTCCCAAACGGCGTCGACGTATTTGTGTTTTTTGATTTTATGCTTGATTACAATCATTACATTGATATATTGTTATAGATTTGTGATGTTTATTATTAAATTTTAATTCAAATTGTTCTATTTCACTTTTATGCCTACAAGATGTTTGTTGAAATGATTCAATGAATTTTTTACCCACATCCACAATTTATGTGTTCATTGTCCTTTTTTGTTATTTCTTACTATTTTATTATTATTATGGATTTATATTTATGTTTTTGATATATTAGTCTATAAAATCTACTCAATATTGTTCAAACTGTATTGTTTGCAAACAAGTCATATTCAAACCCCATATTTAATTGAATAAAAGTTTTTTTTTAAATGACAAAGATTAAAAATAGTAAAGCAAATGAAGACGTAAGAAGAGTTATAGCTGCTGTACAAGTTGTAGATTTTAAACAAGTTGAAGAGATTTGGAGACAGTATAGCAAGGCATGTTAAATATTCATTCACCCCATCTGGTATTTGTCCAAACAAGTTGTGTCCCAAACTTAAAACTATCAAGAAGGAACAGTTTTTCATGGATGAAGGTAGAGTGCTTATATAACTGTTATGGTCAAGAAGCAATGTATCCAGGGAAATCAATGATCCAAAGGAAGTTGGAAGACTTACTGATAGATTGTGATTGTTTTCCAAGTTGAGAACTTGCAGACGAGAGAGACTTGACAACCAATCCGGAAGTGTTCCTGAGAGTTGATTGGATGAGATATCTATGAATGAGATACGTGAAGATTCAGAAGTAGTTGTTTCCTTAAAGTCACATAGGGAGTTGAGTTTAGTGAACTTATTCCCAGAAAGCTACAGTGATTCCACACTGAAGAAAAAGGGCGGAATGACACCATATAATTTGTTGAACTCAAATCCAGTAGAGTGATTTTATTTCTAAACCACGATGATACTTGAGCACCATTTCCAATTGTTCCCTTGATTTCGTTATACGAAGCATTAATGTGACTACATAGAGCATTTGAATTCCCAAACCATGATGGAATGACATCTGAGATGGCATTACAGGAGTTATCAAGGTACGAATAAGTGACTTGAGTTCTAAGCCAATTTGGAAACTCAGGTCCCAACTTGCAAGAATGAAGGTTTATTACTTCCAATTGGAAAGGGGGAAGCCAATCAGAAGTTTGGCGATAATTGCAGAACACGTAGATTGGGGATATTAACTAAGTGATGTTCAGAAATGACCACATCTAGGTGGTTGTTACCTAAATGTAAGACCTGAAGAGGGCGGTGTGGGCGTGATGTGGATATGTTTAGGCTTCCAGTTATACGGTTGTAATTCAATCTCAGGACCTGCAGAGTGCATATGTTCCAAATGGATTTCGGGATTTCTCCAGTTCTCCTTCAAGTTTATTACCCCAAAGATGAAGCTCTTCAAGGACAGACATATTCCCTAGAGCTTCAGGAATGTGACCTGTCAACTGATTCAGTTGCAGGGAAAGGTAAGTCAGCTTAACCATCTTTCCAAATGTTTCAGGAATGGAGCCATCTAAGCTATTTTTGCTGAGATCAAGGTATGTAAGGATCTTCATGTTGTTTCCAAAATTTGCAGGAATCGAACCTATTAATCGAGACCAAGTTCTCTGAGGGCAGACATGTTGTTTCCAAAATTTTCAGGAATGGTGCCACCAATTCTGGTGCACCTTAGATAGAGATACAGAAGGGGAGCTCTAATATTGCGGTCTGCAATCAAAGATAAGATGTTGCGGCCTACCAACTGGAGGCTATTCCAGCAAAGATCCAAATATATCAAATTGCGCAGCATATTGAATGGAAGGCTGAGATGTTGAATGGAATCCATACTACCATTCTTATTCTTGGGGTTTCCAATTAAGAATGAGAGGCTCTGGCCTGTCAGCTGGAGGTTGTTCCAGCTAAGATCCAAATGCTCCAAACAACGCAGCTCAATGAATGGAAGGCTGGTGTTATCAGGGGCGGATGTAGCTTGAGAGGTATGGGGGCACTTGCCCCCAATAACTTGTTTTGAGCAAAGTAAATATATACTAATTTTATTACTTTTATTTTAAATGAAATAATATGCCCCCAATAGCTTTTTTCCTTTGCCCCCAACAATTCTTCCTCTTTCCCCACTAACTTTTTGCTTAATGTACGTGATATTTATCAAATTGAAATTCCCAAACAACTTAAAATTTTATGGGCATGCCAATAAACAACATGATGATATTATACTTGATTTTATAAGTAACAAAATCATTTTCTCATTATAACATACCGATTTATACACATTACACTTTATTTGGATCGTATCTTGTAAACTCTTGATGTTGTATGAATATTTATATGTAACACCCCGGCCCCGCAGGCCCCGAGGTAGTTACTCTAACTCTTTAGTACTTTGTCCTCACTCATGTGCCTTCACCGCGCACTTTGTCCTCACTCATGTGCGCCCTGAGAAACTTCCCAGGGGGTCACCTATCCCAGGACTACTCCCGTGCAAGCACGCTTAACTTTGGAGTTCTTGGGTGATGAGCTCCCTTAAAAGGAGATGCACCTCTGTTGGTATGAGTAGTACTATTAATCCGTTTATATTAAATCTCAAGTGTTACATTATAAATCAAGAACGTATCATTATAGATTTGAATAATAAACTTATTGAGTATGTAAACATTTACTCCGTATGTAATTATAAAATGAGTTGAAAGGGTCTCACTAGTCCTCTAAGACATAAAAGTACAACCCTTCTTTTGAACTACATTGGTGAAATAGTTTTAAGATTGGATCAATTGTAAAACAAGCAAAAGTCATACATTTTCACTTTACTTTTCACTGTACAACCTATCTTTCAAAGGATAGGTCAGGACATTGGGCCGGACACAGAGAATATTTTGAAAAAAACTTTACATGGAACTTGTTTCTATTTTAGTTTGAGTAGATTTGGTTTGAATGTTAGGATTTTTGGAGTTCTTTTGATAGACAGGGTTTCAGTTCCAGTCGTTTTAGACCTAAATTTGCCCGTTTCAGGTTTAGCGAGTAATGTTGCTTTGTATGAGGTGACTGACTCTAAGTCTACTCCTAGGGTTCACGACCGCTCTTTTACGATAAAATAAAGAAATCTGGGGTGGACCAAGGCCTAGGTTGGCCACCCTATCTCCGCCCATGCATCTTTCCATTTCCTTTTTTGGATAATTTTTGTGGCTAATATTCATTTACTTTTTTTACTCAATATAATCATACATTTTCACTTTATTTTCACTTTCTAAATCTTTGATTTTAATCAAATTAGAAAGAATTTCATGGGATAAATGAAACGTATATATAGGAGATCATATATTCATATAACATAATTAAGTTGAATCAATTGGGAATGTAACATATCTTCATCCTTTGTATGTTATTATGCCCCCAATAAGCACAATTTCTGGATCCGCCACTGGGTGTTATACATACCACCTTTCGCCCTCAGGTCCATACCAGAAAGATCAAGCTTGATGACATGACCAGTGAGGTTATCACACCCAACTCCAGCCCAACCGCAGCAGCAATTTTCATCGTGGTTGCCCCAAGAGCTAAGATATTCGTACTCATCAAGAATGTTGTGCTTAAACTTGAGGAGCGCTTGTCTCTCCCCATCAATGCATTTACTGGTAGTGGATACTCGTACTGCAACAGAACCCACACTCATCACCAGCAGCAAGCAACTCACCCCCACTGCAATGGCAATTTCAGTGCACGAATGTAACAGTAATCTACCCATTCTTAACTTTTTCCAGTTTTCTGTAATTTTCGAGCTGCTTAGATTGCTAGTTAAAGATCCTCTCATATAGCTTAGCTTAGCTTCTTGTGTTTGCATGTGTATATTTATTTTCTACTTCCAGAAATAGGCTAGGGGGCCACTACCAAGTCAAGTCGTTCCAAATGGAGGGAGCCAACTGGAAAGAGCAGCACAAGTCTGACCACTTCTTCGTCACTTGTATCTCATCCAAGACTTGGGGTCAACTCATGTATATGCAGGCCTAGGAGTGCTTTGACCATAAAGGTTATTAATTTATTATGCCCTCAGTTTATACATTTATTCAGGGGATGATCTATGTATAGACAACCGTGGTTGAAGTTCAGTCCAACTTAACTTTTTTCTTCAATTCTTTTAGTATAATTTTTTCATTTTTCATATTTAGCCTACCTTCTAATGTTTAAGCTTAGTATAATAACTCTTCAGCGCAGTCTAACTCAAATTCCTGGATCCGCCCACGCATTTATCGAATATGTATTATCAATTTTATATCCAGTAGTTAGGGGCGGGTCCAATGTGGGTTATAAGGGAACAAAACCAGTACAAAGCAGGTAAAAGTACATTACCATGCCTCTAAGTCGAGTTTAAATTCCAAAACTTGTGGTTCTCACATCACGCCTTCTTGGCTTCTTGAATTGGTGAAAGTCAAATGAACCAACTTACCCATCTAGTGGAGGAATGTTAGGACTGTTTAAAAAGTTATATAAAGGCCCTCAAGGGTGACTTAAGTACTGAAAGAAAGCTGTCTTGGCAATGTTTTTTATTATATTGCCAAAGTAGAGGAAGAAGCGGGTAAGGGTAGAGCCAACGGGTCAAAGTGATCGGCCAACTCTAATGAAAGTTTAAAAATCTTGAGCACAAAAATACTTTTGATTTGACATATTATAGCCCTTTTAACTCATTATGAGTAAAAAGACAAGTACTTTAAAATAAGCATTAACTAAACTTGAATTAAGTGAAATTTGATGCATAATATTGATTATATTCTCAAATTTTAAAAATAGCATATATAATCGCTCATCACTTAAGAGTATATGAGTCTCATTTAAACTACGTAGTATCATTTATGTAAACTGTGTATGAAACATTCAATTCAAGTGTTATTTAAATATGGTTCACTTCCTTATTTATTTAAGAATAACGTAATAACTAGGGATGGTTTGGTACGGTATACCGAATATTTTCTCTCATACCTTTGTCGTATCAAAACTTTTGGTATACAAAATTTATATATCGTCACCTTATCGAAGTTTCAGTACGGTATCAGTATGTTATCGGTAAATTACCATGCATGTCTCACAATACAACAAATTATCATAGACTAACAAAATATACTAAATCGGTGTTACTAGCGAGTAGCGACATATTTAATCAATTATTATAATGTTACAAAATACAATTAATAATCTATTGATGTCATATTCAATATTGAACAATAATTATTATTAGTATATATAAGCAGGTCAACATGTCACGTATTAAAAAAATACATTCTTCTAAAATAACTTGAACAATATAGATATAATTAAATGAATAGTGATCTCTAACAAACAACAACAACAACATTCAAGCCTTAATCCCAAAAGATATTGGGGTCAGCTAACATGAATCGATACATGATATCACCACCAAAAGGAAAAGAAAGAAAATAAAGATAAAAAATAAGCTAATATAAAAAGATAATATAAAACGAGATGAATATACCTAAAAATGATAAAATAAAAAGGATAAAAATAATGTTTATATATATAAGGATAAAAGAATAAAAAAATAAGAAGAAAAAATATGAGGGAAAAAATTATACGAGATCACTCCTTCACACGAATATCCGTCCTCCACCTTGCTCTCTCCAAAGCCATATCCTCATCCAACCCAAGAAGAAGCATATCACTTCGGACTCCTCTAACTCACGTCTGTTTGGGTCTTCCTCCCCCTCTCTTCTCTGCCTCTTCTCCACACATCTCAACACGTCTGACAGGTGCATCACTGGGTCTTCTTGTGATCTCTAACAAAAATAAATAAAATTATTCAAATAACTTGGATACAAAATCATTTATCCCTAATATGATATTGTGTATTTAGTCATTTTTATAATTTCAAAAAAAGTATTTGGAATAGACTTTCAGACAAAGTTGTGTGTCTCGACTCGTGAATCCCTATGTAGATACACTCATCAAGTAAGTGTATCCCTCTTGACTCGTCGACTCAGCGACTCAACCATCACGACTCACAAGCTCATGGAACAAGATGAACTGGTTTCTGAACATTAGTACATTACTCATTAATCATTAGGATTAGTTTGTTTGAATGTTACGTTATAGAAGCCTAGAATGTTATAGTGGGTTTGGGAAATTGAGCCTTTCTTTTGTATTTTAGTATTGGTAACCAACCGAAGTATTAATTTTGGGATTCAAAATTGTAATGGACTTCTACAATATTTTAGAATTTAAAGTAATTGTCGGGTAGGAGTCGGTATGGTATTATACCGGTATACCGCGGTATTTGAAAACATTTACCGTTACCGTACCGAAAATGATGGTATCCCAATATTTCGGTATTTCGCGGTATGGGATATTACCCGAAATAGGACTAAAAAAGTTTGAAAATTCCAAAATAGGACTTCCATGTTTTTATTTCCAAAATAGGACTAATTACTGTCATGTTTTGGCAGTACCAGACTTCAAACATGACAGTATTTTCCAAACTTGACAGTAATTAGTCCTATTTTGGGAATAAAAACATGACAGTCCTATTTTGGAATTTTCAAACTTTTTTAGTCCTATTTCGGGAACTTTCCCTTCGCGGTATTTATCGGTACGAAGTAGAAGACTTGGGTCAACTCACGTGTATGTTTGAATTGTGTAGGAATGTACGAACACGTGTTCATTGATACCAATGCTATGAAATTATACTTTGGTGTTTGGTTTTGCATCACACAACTAAGAGAAAATTAGGTGCTTAATATTTTTAATTTTAGTTGCATATATTCATGTTAATAATTTTATAGACATATAAGATGAATTCTATTTCACACCAAACCTAATTTATTAGATTTGATTATGAAAGATTCTACCACATATTTATAGATCCGTATTTCAACACGCATTTTATGTGTGTTGGGACTGGTTTTGTACAACTTCCCTAACTAAAATGAGTCACAAAGTGTTAATTTAATTCAAGTTATGGTTTACCGGTTTTTCGTTTGCATTTTACACTTTTAGAGTTAGAATTAGGAAATTGAGTCTGACACCGTCACACCGATGGTAGAGTGTTTAATTTGGGATTTAGCGACACTCGCGAAGTAAATTGAAAAGTAAATTGGTAGAGTTACGGCATGCAAAAGAGGTCGAATCTAAAGAAGAAAGGGCTCAAGAATCAAGTACAAGATCAATGGACATTTATTATTTATATTATATTTATATATATATATAAATATATATATATAACATAAAACTCATTTGAGAAAATAACAATCTCAGAGTCATAAGGGAGTGCCACAAGGGAGAGGTCTCGGGTTCAACTTCAAGCAATGACTTGGAATGGAGCCTCACTCTCTTTTCATTAGAGTCATATCAAAGCGCAATTTATAGGGCGGGGACCAGTTCGGTTCTAACTCAAAATGAGTGGAACCGTTATAAAAATTTTAACTAATGAAATCGGTTCGGTTCCTATATAAAAAATCAAGAACCATTATGGAACCGAACCGATAGTAAACGGTTCGGTTCTTCCTTTTACCGGTTCCTAGAATAATTTTTTCTCGTCTAAGAATTAACACATAATTTTAAACACGTTGAAAATTCAAAATACGAGTATTAAAATTTTATTTGAAGCTCTAATTACTTCAAACATCAAAGCTCAAACTTAACTAATGAACTTTGAACACTTAATAGAACAAAAGTGATTTAAATTTTCATGTAATAAATCAAACATTAAAAATCGTTGTAATGTCGGAGCGATGAAGATACTCGTCATCATAGTAGCAAGAATAGGACGCCTACTTCAAGTCTTTCAAAACATAAAAAAAAAGACATTGAGTTTGCATGTATAGATATAAAAAAAAACATTATTACATTTTATTGATTCATAATAAATCTAATAATTAGAAATATCATGAAAATAGTAAAGTAAAATATGCGCAATCAACTACAAGTTATTTGGGTTATTTTATATTTATAAAATTTATGTGATGAAACAAAACTTGATTTGTAGAAAGGAGTTTAATGTAATATATCAACCTCATGTACAATATTTATTACTTCTTTTCCGTTGATTAAATTAGAATTGTTAGTTAAATATCTTATATTGTTTTATTATTGTTGTTGTTGTGGTGGTTATTATTGCTATTATATTATTATTGTTGTTGTTGTTGTTACTACTACTACTACTAATATTATTTTACTTTTTTTTATTTTTTTAACTAACGGTTCTTTAACGGTTCCATGCACATATTTTTTATAGGAACCGGGAACCGAACCGTTATAACCCGTTTTGGTTCGGTTCCTACAAATGAGGCATTAATTGTTAACGGGTTCAGTTCCTAGATGTTGTTAACGGTTCGGTTCCAATCGGTTCTACGGTTCCCGGTTCCAAAATCCCACCCCTAGCAATTTACATCCTTTCAGCTAACTGTCCGATTGGTGTTGGGGCTCTGAGGATAGGGTGTCATCTTTTTTTTACCGATATACTAATATGAAGTATTTGATTATGTTCATATATAATGTCATACATATCCAGGGGTGTAGGCGGGGCCAGGATATCATCATAGGGAGCCAAAAAAATATTGATACATATCTCGAGTATACAAGAGATATCATCTGTCCGATGATGAAACATTTTTGAGGACACACAGATGTAAGGCCCTATTTACTAACAGAAATATTTTCTGTTTTTCCAAAAAATTGGAAAACAGGAGATAGAAAAGAGATGGCAAAGGGTGATCATAGAAAAGAGATGGCAAAGGGTGATCATAGAAACGGATGCACAAGTGGCGGTGCAGGAAGTGGAAAATGCAAGAGGTAGCTCTTATGAAACAGCACTAGCGGAGGATATTAAACACATGAAAGCATTTTTTGCTGAATTTTCTGTCCATTATGTGAGACGATCAGCGAATAGGATTGCTGACGCCTTGGCAAAGCAAGCTCTTTCGGAGCCTGATTGTTATTGGTCTGATGTACCACCTTTTTGTATTCTTGACCTTTTGAGGAAGGATATTTGTGATTAATGATAATTTGTCTTTGTTTTCAAAAAAAAAATTAGAAAACTTGTTTACCTCATTGTTTTCCAAAACAAGTGATATCATCAAAAACAAAACAAGTGAAATACATCGAGGTTTTCCAAACATATTAAACGACTTTTCATCTGGAAAATTGGGATGGCATTTAAGCTTTCTAGCCTTTCTTGGCTATCAGATCCTCAATAAACCTGCAGCATCTTGAACTGTAGCAATACTCGGAGCACTGTCTTCTACTAGACTACTACTGTGATTCCAAACTCTCCTCAAGTCCCATCATAATGTCCACCTGAAACACAGATGATGGAAATGGACATATAATCAGAAAATAGGAAATGCAAGAGAAAAAAAAAAATGTAAGAGAATAACAAAGAGCACAAACGATGGTGAACAATCCAATACGCCATGTTTTAACCTTATTTGTGGTTTTTGACATAAGAATGCTTCTAATTACAACAGAGCACATTCTTGAAATCAGTATTGTCGCTAAATCTTATGATGTGGTAAAAATGGATCAATCAGAACTGAGGAAAATTATGCTGTACTGCCAATCTGAAACATAACGACTAAAAACAGAATGAAAAAAGGTTTGAAGCAACATAGGCCATAGGGTGAGTTACTTACTTCAAACATGAATGAGCTTCATATTCATCAAGCGGCCTAAAAGCTCAACCTTTTAATTTGTAGTTTCGTACTGCTATCATTTCCCATCAAAAACAACAAAACATCCAATTAGGTAAATTCGTAAATGAAACGCCCTCCCTAAAAATTAAAAACAACACCCCATTCAGCTTAGCCTGTGGATTCCTATATATACACATTGTTGAAGGGAAGGATATGGGTAGATGTTATATTTGTAATCCTAATTCTAGTTATGTTCTCCATGATGTTTAGTACATAGATAGGAAGGTAAAGGAAGGTTAGGAGATTAATTTGGTCTGGCCCATTTCAGTTTATTTCTGCGATTTGGGCCTGATATTTCCTTAGCCCAGTCAGGTTCTCCTTATTTGACCCAGCTCATTTGATTCGCTTATAAAGCGTCTCTTTCACTCTTCTGGAGACATCTTTTGGCGTCATTTCTAAACCCTAAGCTCCGAGAGGCGATTGATACCGAGAGCTTGTGCGTTGCTTGAGGAAAAACCTCCGGTTTTCATTTCCTGATCTGAATTCACTTGAAGCCAGAATGAGCTGAGGAAGGCAAGAAGTATATCGTGTGAAGAAGCTTAGATCCAGAGCAGTTGGTTCGAATCCAAGAATCTGATAACTCCTGGGTTTTGATAGTTTCGTCCGATTATTTCTGTTCCTTCTCTTATTTTATTTGTATGCTTGTTTTGGGCTGATTCTTGTGTGTTAGATCTGTTAGTTTCGTGTCTTGCTTTGCAACCATCTGTGTATTCAAACTGTTCTGAGCTAGTGGATTCTAGGGACTGGGTTTCCCCTGTTGAAATCCCGCAGAGTAGGATTTAGGTGCTGTTCTGTTCGTCTTATTCTTATTACTTATTGCTTATTCTTATTTTATTCAGATCAGATCAGATCAGATCAGAAAAATTCAGATCAGATCAGATCAGATCAGAAAAATTCAGATCAGATCAGATCAGATCAGAAAGATTCAGATCAGATCAGATCAGATCAGAAATATTCAGATCAGATCAGAAAGATTCAGATCAGATCAGACCAGATCAGAAACATTCAGATCAGATCAGAAACATTCAGATCAGATCAGAAAAGTTCAAACATGATTTATCACTTTTATTATTATATTAATTATTATTATTGTTATTACAATTATGATTATTATTATATAATTATTATTAATAATATTAATAATAATATGATAACAAAAATAAGATATTAATAATAGTTATAATATTTTAATATAATAATAGTAATATAAATGTAATTATTAAGAAGACTATTATTATTATTATTATTATCATCATCATCAACATCATCATCATCATCATCATCATTATCATTATCATTATCATTATCATTATCATTATTATTATTATTATTATTATTACAATATAATAATAATAATATGATTAATGTTAATATAATATTATATTATAATTATATGTAATTATAATTATAATTACAATTATAATTCTTATAATTATAAGTACAATCAATTGTATTTATTATAATTATATCTATAAATATTTATAATTATAATTGTAATTAATTATAATTATAATAATTATAATTATAATTACAATCATAATTATAATTATGATTATAATTATAATTATAATATAATATTATAATAATATAATAATACTAATTATAATAATAATAATCATATTATTATTATTATATTATTGTAATAATAATATGAATATAATAATATCATTATTATAATATTAATTGTATTTATATTACTATTATTATATTATAATATTATAATTAATGTTAATATAATTATAATTATTATTAATTATAATTATAATAATTATAATTATACTTATAATTATAATTTATGATTATAATTATTATTATTATTATTACTATTGTAATTATTTTACGGAGTAATTATAATAATATTGATAACTATAGCTACAATTATAGAGATAAATATTGTAATTATAATTACAATTATAATTAAAAATATAATTACAATTATAATTATATCTATATTTATAATTAGTGTAATAAGTATAAATTTTTTCATTTTAAATTTAATTTTAATTATTATTATTATTATTATTTTTATAGTTACGATTATAATTATAATTTTATTTAAATTATATTTGTAATTGCAATTATAATAATTATAATTATAATTATAATTATAGAAATATTCAAATCAGATCAGATCAGAAAGATTCAGATCAGATCAGAAGGATTCAGATCAGATCAGAAACATTCAGATCAGATCAGACCAGATCAGAAACATTCAGATCAGATCAGAAAGATTCAGATCAGATCAGATCAGATCAGAAAGATTCAGATCAGATCAGATCAGATCAGAAAGATTCAGATCAGATCAGATCAGATCAGAAAAATTCAGATCAGATCAGATCAGAACTTAAAAAATTCAGATCAGAAACATTCAGATCAGGCGAAGAGAACAGCTTCTTATCCGAACTGCGTCAACATATCGTGTGTTCATTTCTTAATTTCTGTTTTGGTTGAATTTGAAACTTGAATCCGGTATTTTGACTGAGACTATTGATATAGTCTGAGAACAGTAGAGTATTGATAATAGAAAGCTTATGATGTTAGGAAGGATGCTTTTATTGTAAGTGACTTTTTCAGAAGGGATGCAAATTGTAGGACATTGTAGTATTAGACATGTCCAGACCCTAGCAGAATCATCAAAATGATTGTTCAAGGAGTGTATACTATTTCTATTATATTTTATTTAATAGATCACAAATATTTTAAGCAGCCAAAAAGACTAATGCAGATGATGTCTTCAATACACCTAGTTCGGAAAATGGAAACAAAATTAAACTTTATTGGATATATATTTATGAGATCTTCCTCACCAATCAAATATGCTGCATCATGAACTCTTTTAATACTCGTTTGAGCAACTTCTTTTCCCCTGTAATTCAAAACTCGTCCTCATCACCCGTACCTATCAAAAGTTCTAAACCTGAAAAACATGTAGGGAATGGAAAAGCAAAAAAAAAAAAAAAAAAAAAAAAAAAAAAAGAACAGATGGTCCATTCAAGAAGAAACTTTCTTATCTTCTTAGAGCGTGTTTGACAAAAGAGTACTTATTCTAATTCTAAACTAAAAATCAACTTCAACATTATAATCCTATGAGCTGGAGAGAATGAAATAATCCAAGTGTGTTTCGCGAACTTTTTGCAGCAACTTTTATGGTGGTTTCCGGCGGTGGTCGCCGCCAGTGGTTTCCGAAGGCGGCTGTGGGGCAAGGGGTGGGGTAGGGTGGGAAGTTGGGTAGGGATTAGAAGCAGAGAAAAATTAAATTAAAAGTTAGTCACATTTTTAGAAAAAAACAAAACTAGTCATATTTTGTCTTCAAAAAGTGAATAAATACGTAGTACGGAGTAATATTTATGCCAATTTTTTTTTTAAAGTTACCTTTATTCAGTAACATGCAAAGCCATGTTCTTCATTTTCAGGATGCATATCATGACAGTTTTGTGCCATAACACATAATATCACAAAATAAAGAATACAATACACTAAAAATAAAAAGAGTTAGCTCTGAGACTTAGGGAGTGTTTGGAACTGATTCTGCTTCTGCTTCTTTTTTAAAGCAGAAGCAGAATCAGAATCAGTTTTCAGAAGCTGGTACATCCCAACTTCTAAAAAAACTTATTCTGGGAGTAAATTAGAGCACCAGAAGTGCTTCTGGAATTTCATCCAAACACTCCAGTTTCTGCTTCTGCTCCTTGAAGGAGCAGAATTAGTTTTGACAATCAGATCCAAACACCCCCTAGTTTTTGCCAAATAAATGTTTCTAAAATCCCAATAGACTTAGCCCACCAAAACCCTCTTCTAAAAGTGACCCTTAAGCTTGAATTGACTTGTGTTTGGGGCTCCAGGATCAAGAACCAAAGGCTTCTTCATCATTCCAAAAACATTAACAACCGTGTCAACTGTCAAGTATAACCGGTTAAATAAATAGAAACGAAACGAAAAGGTTTTAAACACAATCGATTGCTTAGAAGTGACTCCAGTAAGCTAACGGCGGCGATCAGTTTCAAAGCCGGAACAATCACATCACTGATCAAGATTAAAAAAACAGAAACATAGGAAACTAACATAGAGAGAGCACATGAAAAATCTGCAGCTAGAATTTGTAAGAATAAACCATAAATATTGAAATGGCCTGAAAACGATACCCTTCTCAGATTTCCAATATGAACTGAACGTTATTTGTGAAGAAAACCCCATAAAAAAGTAGCATTTAAAATACTGGGTATGTACACTGGGCTGTTAACCACCGAGTGTTCTGAGGAACTTTGTCAGGTGCATTGCAGCCACCACATAAGTTCAATTAGAATAACCATTAAGGACTTCGAAAATTGCAAACCTACAGGACTTGATTAATAGCATTGTCCCAATAACTCCCAAAAATCCAACCGCGTATCCAACGCCTATGCTTGCATAAAACTCACTGCCAATAAGCTTATCCATGTCTTCTCCATTAAAAGCTCCTTCTTCATTGAATCCTGGTGGAGAAGGATGAGTTGGTTCTTCTACACGACAACTATTAGGGAGTGGATCTCCACATAGCCCGAGATTCCCCATGTATGCACTTGCATCAAAGCTCTGAAGTTGAGTGCCTTTGGGAATTTTGCCAGATAAGTTATTTTTGGACACATTGAGAACACCTATGTCATCAATCAGGGCAAGGCTTTGAGGGATGCTACCAGACAAATGGTTATAAGACAAATCAAGAGTATTTAAGCTCGCCAAGTTACCAATCCTTGAAGGAATCTGTCCCCTTAGATTGTTTCGTGATAAGTTCAAAGAAACCAACCCAACAAGCGATGTGATTTCAGTTGGTATATCACCAAGCAACATGTTGGATGATAGATCAATGCTCTTTACGAGTCCTAACGTACTTCCAAATTCAGAGACCATGCCTTTCCATACAACATCTATTTTGTCAGAATGGCTAATGTCTACTAACATTGAAGAGTTTGAAGTATAAAAAATGTCTGGTACCACATAATAAATGGTGGCACTACTGCCTCCTATTACAGTCATTCCAGTGAGATTGGAAAGACAGTTGGGAAGACTCGCTGAGATGTGGTTCATGGACAGGTCCAACAGTTGAAGAGATTGGAGATGACACAGACTTGTGGGTAGACTTCCATTGAAGTGGTTGGATCTTAGCACTAATATTGAAAGTTGTGTTAGGCTTTCACCTATCCAATCTGGTATTCGTCCAAACAAGTTATTGTGTCCCAGATGTAAAGCTACCAACTGAGAGCAGTTTTTCATGGATGAGGGTAGAGTGCCTGTAAAATTGTTATGGTCAAGATGCAATGCCATCAGGGAAGCCAAAGATCCAATGGAAGTTGGAAGACATCCTGATAGATTGTGATTGTGGGCCAAGTTGAGAAGTGCAAGATTTTTTAGACTAGACCAACAATCAAGAAGTGTTCCTGAAAGGTGATTGAATGAGACATCCAAAACCTGCAAACCAGCGGCTGCATTACTGCCACACAGGGAGTTGAGGTCAGTGAACTTATTCCGAGAAAGGTACAGTTGTCCCACGTTGAAGAAAGATGGTGGAATCACACCTTCTAATTTATTGAAACTCATATCTAGTATACCACTGCCAATTCCAAACCTGGATGATACTTGGACATCATTTCCAAGATTTCCCTTGATTTCGTTATGAGAAACATTAATACCAGAAAATTGAATAGTTGTATTAAAAAACCAGGAGGGAATTGAATCTGAGATCTCGCTATTGGAAATGTCAAGCCAACTATAATTGACTTGAGTTCTAAGCCAATTTGGAAACTCAGGGCCTAACTTGCAAGACCTAAGGGCGATCCTTTTCAATCGGAAAGGAGGAAGCCAGGAAGAGGAGACATTGAAAGTGAAATTGTTTGAAGATAAATCTAGGTGGTATAGTTTTGAGAGATTAACAAAGTGATGTTCAGAAATGACCCCATCAAGGAGGTTACCTCCAATAGATAATTCGGCCAAAGACGGGAACTTGGTAAGATCAGGAAATGACCCTGTGATACGGTTGCTGCCTAAATATAACTGCTCCAAAGAGTGATTTGGGCAGAATGTCAATATGATTAAGGTTCCATTAAGACGGTTGGATTCCATACTCAGGTGTCGCAGAGTACATATGTTCCAAATGGATTTTGGGATTTCTCCTTCGAGTCTATTCATGCCAAGATCAAGTTCTTCAAGGGCAGACATATTCCCTAGAGCTTCAGGAATGTGACCTTCCAACTGATTCCATTGCAGGTAAAGAGAAGTCAACTTAACCATATTTCCAAATGTTTCAGGAATGGAGCCTTCTAAGCTATTATCGCTGAGATCAAGGTGTGTAAGGGCAGTCATGTTTTCCCCGAAACTCTTTGGGATTTGACCTCCTAACAAGTTTTCTCCAATGGAAAGATATGCAAGGGGGGCCATATTGCCTAGACCTCCAGGAATATGACCTTCTAACCTGTTACCATTGAGATCAAGATGTGTAAGGGCAGGCATGTTGCTTCCAAGATTTTCAGGAATCATGCCAACAATTCCTGTTTGACGAAGACTGAGATGTTGAAGGGAAGCCATAATACTACCGTTGTTATTGTTTTTGTTCCCAATCAATGATGAGATGCTCTGGTTTGCTAGCAAGTTGCTGATTTCACTAAGATCCAAATACTTCAAATAGGGAAGATCAATGAATGGAATGCTGGTATATATAACATTCGCGGACAGATACATACCATGAAGATCAATCTTGATGACATGACCAGTAACGTTATCACACCCAACTCCATCCCAATTGCAGCAATCATTGTGGTTGCCCCAAGAGCATAGATCGCCATTCTCGTCACGAATGTTGTGCTTAAACGTGAGGAGTACTTCTCTCTCCCCATCAATGCATTTACTGGCAGTGGATATTGATATTGCAGCAGCAGCCACACTCATCACCAGGAAGCAACTCACCCTCACTGCAATTGCAATATCAATGGACGAAGATAACAATAATCTACCCATGCTTAGCTATTGTGTGTGTATACATATTTTCCACTTCCATAAATACAATAGGAGCCCAGTACCAAGTCAAGTCTTTTCTAAATGAGAAAACAGGAAATTCGTAGTAGTAAAAGTATGACCACTTTCTGGTCAAATCACATGTGTGTATAGGTCTGTGGGTACTCCGTGTATCTATGGTGTGTAGGCCCTTCTATGATGCTGTGAGTATAACAATAAATTACTCTGTCTTGAATCTATATGTATACCTTCATAGGAACTTGATTTTATGTATTTATATTTATAGTTAATCAAACTATGTGTCCTTCTAATGTTAATCCCAAACATGGATAGTTCCAGTATAATCTAAACTTTATGGACAATCTTCTCTAAACCAGTTCTAAATTCCCCTAACGGGGAAGGCACCTTTGAGGCTCCACCTTCCCTTACATAACAAATCTAGGCACCCTCTTTACCCATCACTGAGAAATGAAGAAGTACCAATAAGTGTGGCTAAGTAAAGGCGAAAAGCTTCGTCTATGATTTCCAGGGACCTCTTTCTATTCTTCTCATTTTCTGTTCACGCGGTTCTCAAAACACGGTTCTATCAATGTCTTTTTTAGCATCCTATACTTTCCAAGTACCAGGAGCCCTCTGTCGCAGACATCTATCCAGAAGCAAGAGATGTTTAACAGTTCAAGTATACTGGTTCCACCACTATCCCTCCGCAAAGATTGTTTGAGTTGAGTGTGCGATTATGCTTTGTCATAGAATAGAATCACAAATCAACCCAGTTCCTCTTCTTTCGAGGTTCCCCATTTTGGTACCCATTATTACCACATTCTCTAGATCGAATGAACCAATCATTTAAGTCTGACACAAGGACGTGGTGAGAAAAGAATGGTCAAAAGAAAAACTTAATATACTTGTGATTGAAGATATGGGAAGTATGGGTTGCTCATAAAGACATTTATTCAATAATAACAGTAACTTAGAAACTGTTCCGTTCGTCTTAATCTTATTACTTATTCCTTAATCTTATTTTATTCAGATCAGATCAGATCAGATCAGAAAGATTCAGATCAGATCAGATCAGATCAGAAAGATTCAGATCAGATCAGATCAGATCAGAAACATTCAGATCAGATCAGAAAGATTCAGATCAGATCAGCAACATTCAGATCAGATCAGAAAGATTCAGACCAGATCAGACCAGATCAGAAACATTCAGATCAGATCAGAAACATTCAGATCAGATCAGGTCAAAAAATTCAAACATGATTTATCACTTTTATTATTATATTAATTATGATTATTATATTATAGTTATTGTTAATAATATTAATATATTAATATAATAATATTATTAATAATAATATAATAATAACGTTAATAATATAAAATTATTATTATATTATAATAATATAATATAATATAATATAATATAATATAATATAATATAATATAATATAATATAATATAATATAATATAATATAATATAATATAATATAATATAATATAATATAATATAATATAATATAATATAATATAATATAATATAATATAATATAATATAATATAATATAATATAATATAATATAATATAATATAATATAATATAATATAATATAATATAATATAATATAATATAATATAATATAATATAATATAATATAATATAATATAATACAATATAATATAATACAATATAATACAATACAATATAATACAATACAATATAATATAATACAATATAATACAATACAATATAATACAATACAATATAATACAATATAATATAATACAATATAATACAATACAATATAATACAATACAATATAATACAATACAATATAATACAATACAATATAATACAATACAATATAATACAATACAATATAATACAATACAATACAATATAATACAATACAATATAATACAATATAATACAATATAATATAATATAATATAATATAATATAATATAATATAATATAATATAATATAATATAATATAATATAATATAATATAATATAATATAATATAATATAATATAATATAATATAATATAATATAATATAATATAATATAATATAATATAATATAATATAATATAATATAATATAATATAATATAATATAATATAATATAATATAATATAATATAATATAATATAATATAATATAATATAATATAATATAATATAATATAATATAATATAATATAATATAATATAATATAATATAATATAATATAATATAATATAATATAATATAATATAATATAATATAATATAATATAATATAATATAATATAATATAATATAATATAATATAATATAATATAATATAATATAATATAATATAATATAATATAATATAATATAATATAATACAATATAATACAATACAATATAATACAATACAATATAATACAATACAATATAATACAATACAATATAATACAATACAATATAATACAATACAATACAATACAATATAATACAATACAATATAATACAATATAATATAATATAATATAATATAATATAATATAATATAATAGAATATAATATAATATAATATAATATAATATAATATAATATAATATAATATAATATAATATAATATAATATAATATAATATAATATAATATAATATAATATAATATAATATAATATAATATAATATAATATAATATAATATAATATAATATAATATAATATAATATAATATAATATAATATAATATAATATAATATAATATAATATAATATAATATAATATAATATAATATAATATAATATAAATAATATAATATAATATATTTATACTTATAATTATAATTATGATTTACAATGTAATTATTATTATAATCATCATTATTATTAATATGATTGTTGTTCTTGTTGTTATTGTTGTAATTATTATTACTTCGGAGTAATTATATATTTAAATTAGTAATTATAGACATAATTATGACTATAGAAATAAATATTATAATTGTAATTACAATAATAATAATTATAAAATTAATCATAATTAAAAATATAATTACATTTATAATTGTATCTGTATTTATAATTAGTGTAATTGGTATAATTATTATAATTTTAAATTTAATTTTAATTATTATTTTTTAATAATTATGATTATAATTGTAATTTTATTTAAGTTATATTTTTAATTACAATTATAAATCTAATAATTATAATTGTAATTACAATTACAATTATAGAAATATTCAAATCAGATCAGAAAGATTCAAATCAGAAGAATTCAGATCAGATCAGAAACATTCAGATCAGATCAGAAATATTCAGATCAGATCAGATCAGATCAGCAACATTCAGATCAGTTCAGCAACATTCAGATCAGATCAGAAAGATTCAGATCAGATCAGATCAGATCAGAAAGATTCAGATCAGATCAGATCAGATCAGAAAAATTCAGATCAGATCAGATCAGAACTTAAAAAATTCAGATTAGAAACATTCAGATCAGGTGAACGGAACAGCTTCTTAGAATCGCAAAACATGATAACATTATTAAGGGTCTGTTTGCAACTTTTAAAAAAGTGTTTTTTTTAATGAAATGGAGAGAAGTGATTAAATAAAAGTTGATAGTGTTTGAGAAAAAAGTGATTTTGAAAGGTAAAAGTGGGTAGTGTTTGGTAAAATATGTGCTTTTTGTGTACTAGAAAAAGTAAAAGCACTTTTGACGCGGAAGCCGGGAAAAATAAAAGTTGTAGTGTTTGGGAATATAATAACGTTAATAATATAAAATTATTATTATATTATAATAATATAATATAATATAATATAATATAATATAATATAATATAATATAATATAATATAATATAATATAATATAATATAATATAATATAATATAATATAATATAATATAATATAATATAATATAATATAATATAATATAATATAATATAATATAATATAATATAATATAATATAATATAATATAATATAATATAATATAATATAATATAATATAATATAATATAATATAATATAATATAATATAATATAATATAATATAATATAATATAATATATATATATAATATAATATAATATAATATAATATAATATAATATAATATAATATAATATAATATAATATAATATAATATAATATAATATAATATAATATAATATAATATAATATAATATAATATAATATAATATAATATAATATAATATAATATAATATAATATAATATAATATAATATAATATAATACAATATAATACAATACAATATAATACAATACAATATAATACAATACAATATAATACAATACAATATAATACAATACAATATAATACAATACAATACAATACAATATAATACAATACAATATAATACAATATAATATAATATAATATAATATAATATAATATAATATAATATAATATAATATAATATAATATAATATAATATAATATAATATAATATAATATAATATAATATAATATAATATAATATAATATAATATAATATAATATAATATAATATAATATAATATAATATAATATAATATAATATAATATAATATAATATAATATAATATAATATAATATAATATAATATAATATAATATAATATAATATAATATAATATAATATAATATAATATAATATAATATAATATAATATAATATAATATAATATAATATAATATAATATAATATAATATAATATAAATAATATAATATAATATATTTATAATTATAATTATAATTATGATTTACAATGTAATTATAATTATAATCATCATTATTATTAATATGATTGTTGTTCTTGTTGTTATTGTTGTAATTATTATTACTTCGGAGTAATTATATATTTAAATTAGTAATTATAGACATAATTATGACTATAGAAATAAATATTATAATTGTAATTACAATAATAATAATTATAAAATTAATCATAATTAAAAATATAATTACATTTATAATTGTATCTGTATTTATAATTAGTGTAATTGGTATAATTATTATAATTTTAAATTTAATTTTAATTATTATTTTTTAATAATTATGATTATAATTGTAATTTTATTTAAGTTATATTTTTAATTACAATTATAAATCTAATAATTATAATTGTAATTACAATTACAATTATAGAAATATTCAAATCAGATCAGAAAGATTCAAATCAGAAGAATTCAGATCAGATCAGAAACATTCAGATCAGATCAGAAATATTCAGATCAGATCAGATCAGATCAGCAACATTCAGATCAGTTCAGCAACATTCAGATCAGATCAGAAAGATTCAGATCAGATCAGAAAGATTCAGATCAGATCAGATCAGATCAGAAAGATTCAGATCAGATCAGATCAGATCAGATCAGAAAAATTCAGATCAGATCAGATCAGAACTTAAAAAATTCAGATCAGAAACATTCAGATCAGGTGAACGGAACAGCTTCTTAGAATCGCAAAACATGATAACATTATTAAGGGTCTGTTTGCAACTTTTAAAAAAGTGTTTTTTTTAATGAAATGGAGAGAAGTGATTAAATAAAAGTTGATAGTGTTTGAGAAAAAAGTGATTTTGAAAGGTAAAAGTGGGTAGTGTTTGGTAAAATATGTGCTTTTTGTGTACTAGAAAAAGTAAAAGCACTTTTGACGCGGAAGCCGGGAAAAATAAAAGTTGTAGTGTTTGGGAAAATAAGTGTTTTTTTAAAGCCAAAAGCTGAGAAGTGCTTTTTTAAAAGCGATTGCAAACCAACCCTAACATACATCATTTGAGCCATAAAATAAGGGTCTTTTAGTGGTGTTAGAACTTAGAAGTAATAATTTCAAAAAATTACCATTTGACAATTTAGTAAAACAAAAGGTTCGGCTAATTTTTAAAACTTATATTGTCAAACTCGTTAAGTCGGTATAATTAACTTTTTAATAAAATGGTTCGTTGTGTAGAGAGGTCAATTGTTATCGATATGATTGTATACC